GAAATTGGTTGATTTTTTGGGATTGTTTACTGCTAGAATTTTGGAGCTTCTGAGGTTTTGTCACTTTAATTCGTTTCCTTTTTTTATGCTTTTTTCGTATTTTTTAGTCTTTCCTTTTTGCTTTTCATTTATAGCGTGATTTTGCCGCCTTTTCGCTTTTTTGTCAGTTTTATCATCTTTTTTGGCGCTATTTCAAACAATTTTTTTTGGAGCGTTTTCTTATAGCGTTTTCTTTGTAGGTTTTTAGGGCTTTAAATTACCCTTTTTCGCAGTTTTTTTCATTTTAATTCACTTTGTTTTGTCTTTTTTTGCTTTCCTTGTTCTCTTTTTCCGTCTTTCTTTATCGCTTTTTTCTGGTCACTTTTTTTTTGGCGCATGTTTTTGTTGCCTTCGTTTCTTAGCTTCTTTGTCACTTTTTTGTAGTTTTTCTCTCTTTTAGACCTTTTTCACATTTCTTTGGTGTTTTTTTTTCAAATTTTTTTTGTCGCCATATTTTTCGGTGCATTTTTTGACGTTCTTTTTTGTAGGTTTTTTTGGGCTTTCCATCACGGTTTTTACTCCTTTTTTTCATGTTTATATATTTTTTTACGTTTTGCTCCCTTTTTCTACCTTTCTTGTTCTCTTTTTTCGTCTTTCTTTATCACTCCTTTCTGGTCTATTTTTTATCGTGTGTTTTTGGGTTCTTTACACTTTTTTTGTCATTTTTTGTAATTTTTTTGGCCTCTTTTTTGGCACATTTTCGACCCTTTGTTAGCCCTTTTTTCATCTTACCTTGGCGCTTCTTTTTGTTACTTCTGTCATGAATTGTTTACGTTTTTTATCACTTTTTTGTTGCTTTGTCACAGCGTTTTTAACTTTTTTTGTAGCTTTTTGGCGACCCATTTTGTTACTTTTTACCACATGTATCGCCTCGATTTTTGGTCTCCTTTTTTCTTATTGCCTTTTCCCGACACTTTATTGTGTTTTCTTTTGCTTCGTTTTTCCTCCCTTGACTATAGCGTTTTCCCGCATTGTTTTCGATTTTTTTGGTGTATTATTTTGGAAGCCCATGGAGATTTTTTTGTAAATTATTTAAAAAATTTTGGGGAACTTTGGTGTCCTATTTTTGGAAAATTCTGACCCGACCTGTTTTTGGGTTAATTTCGAAACCCCCTTTTTTTTAAAGAGTTTATAAGGATTTTGACGATCTAGGTATTCCTGTTTGGAAAGAATTTGAAGGTGCTTTGGAGCCTTTGGTGTCTTTTATTATCATAATTTAATTAAATTTCTTAGAGGATGCGTCATTTGCCAAAATCAGTCTTATCTTAGCAAGTACTATCCCCGCCCACCCACCCTCTCTCTCGTTAAAGGGTGTTATTTGCCAAAACCAGTCTTATTTTAGCACGTGCTAGCCCCGCCCACCCACCCTCTCTTTTTTTTTCGAGGATATCTTATTTGCCAAAATCAGTCTTATCTTAGCATGTACTAGGCCCGCCCACCCACCCTCTGTTTTTTTAGAGGGTGTCATTTGCCAAAATCAGTCTTATCTTAGCAGGTACTAGCCCCGCCCACCCACCCTCTCTTTCCTTACGGGGTATGTCCTTTGCCAAAATCGGACTTATCTTGGCAGCTACTAGATTTTTTCGCCATCCTTTGGGTTTTTCCGTCATTTATCAGTGTTTTCTGCTTCCATTTTTTTCCGTCGCCTTTGTTTTTTTCACTTTTTTGCTAGCTTGATTGATCTCTTTTTTATAACATCTTTAACCCTTTTTTTTACATTTCTAACCTTTTTTTAATTTTTTGGTCCCCCTTTTTCTTATCGCCTCTTTTATGGCTCTTATTGTGTTTTTTTCTTTTTTGTCTTTTGATCATAGCCTTTTTTACACATTTTTTTCGATTTTTTTCACCTTTTTTCGGCTTTCTTTTGTCATTTTTCACTTTTTTGTCGTTTCTTCTTCATTTTTTTTTGCGCTTCTTTTTGTTAGTTTGTTATCAACTTTTTGCTTTTTTATTACTTTCTTTTTGAAGTTTTTTGCTACTGCTTTTGTCGCTTTTTTGTCACCCTGTTTTTCGGCCCGCTCTTTTGGTCCTCTTTTTTCTTATCGCCTTTTTTATGGTATAGAGTTTTGGCCCCGTTTTTCTCCCTTGATGATAGCCTTTATAGCCTTTTTGGACGCTATTTTTTCGATAATTTTTCATTTTTTTCTTTTGTAGTAATTTTTCGCTTTTTGCAGCTTTTTTTGGTCTTGTTTATGGCACACGTTTTTGTCGCTTCTGTTTTCCCCTTTTGTCGTCTCTTTTTTTATTTTTTTACAACTTCTTTTTGTCACTTTTTTCTAACCTTTTTTTCATTTTTTGGTCCCCCTTTTTCTTATCGCCTCTTTTATGGCTCTTTATCGGGTTTTTGTGTTTTTTGTCTTTTGATCATAACCTCTTTTACACTTTTTTCGATTTTTTTTCACCTTTTTTCGACTTTCTTTTGTCATTTTTCACTTTTTTGTCGCTTTTTTTTATATTTTCTTATGACACTCAATTTTGTCGCGTTTGTTTTTCCCATTTTGTCATTTCTTCTTCACTTTTTTGCGCTTCTTTTTATTAATTTATCAACTTTTTGCTTTTTATTACCTTTTTTTTTGAACTTTTTTGCTACTGCTTTTGTCGCTTTTTGTCACCCTTTTTTTCGGTCCGCTCTTTTGGTCCTCTTTGTTCTTATCGCCTTTTTTATGGTTTTTTATAGAGTTTTGGCCCTTTTTTTCTCCCTTGATAACAGCCTTTATATCCTTTTTTGACGCTATTTTTTCGATAATTTTTCATCTTTTTATTTTGTAGTAATTTTTCGCTTTTTGTAGCTTTTTGTTGGTCTTGTTTATGACATACGCTTTTGTCGCTTCTGCTTTTCCCCTTTTGTCGTCTCTTTTTTTATTTTTTTACTTCTTTTTGTCACTTTTTTCTAACCTTTTTTTCATTTTTTGGTCCCCCTTTTTCTTATCACCTCTTTTATGGCTCTTTATTGTGTTTTTGTCTTTTGATTATAGCCTTTTTTACACTTTTTTTCGATTTTTTTTCACCCTTTTTTGACTTTCTTTTGTCATTTTTCACTTTTTTGTCGCTTTTTTTATATATTTTCTTATGACACTCAATTTTGTTGCGTCTGTTTTTCCCATTTTGTCGTTTCTTGTTTATTTTTTTTTTATTTCTTTTTCTTACTTTTTCAACATTTTTATCACCTTTGTTTTTAGCCTTTTTTGTCGCATTTTTGTATTTTTTTTAATTACTTTTGTTATCTTGTTTTTTCCTCCCTTTTTTTAAGCTCCTTTTCACCTTTCCTTGTCACTTTTTTTGCTAGATTTTTGTGAGCTTAATTGCCGTTTTGATCGCTTTTATTAACTCCGTTTTTGGCATTTTTCGAATTGCCTTTTTTGGCGCTTTCTTGTGGGGTTTTTGCCCTTTTTTTTTTAATGATTTTTTCCCCTTTTTTTTCTTCCTTTTCATAGACTCCTTTCACAACTTTCGTCTTTTTTTCGCCCTTTTTTCTTTTCTTGGCGTTGTTTTCTGCTCGCCTTTTTTCGTGTTTTGCTGTTTTGTCATGTGTTTTTGCCTTTCTTTGTTACTTATTTTTTGTCATGTTTTTTATAGCCTTTTGACCTTTTTTATAGCTTTTTGGCCCCTTTTTATGGTATATTTTTTCTCTTTTTTAATCCCCCTTTTCACCTTGCTTTGTTACTTTTTGTCATTTTTTTTTAGAATTTTCGCTCATTTTTAGGCGTGTTTTCTGTCAGCACTCTGCCGTTTTACTTTTTTTTTGCGATTTTTTGCTTTTTTTTCTTTTTTTCCCATTTTGTTTCGCTTTTTTGATATTTTTTTTATCGCCTTCCTTGACACATTTTGTTCTTCTTTTTTTTGTTGCTTGCTTTTGTCGCCTATTTTTCCCTTAATGTCGTCTCTTTTTGTTGTTTTTTAATTACTACCTCTATTTCATAGTAGTCTTTAATTGTATTCTTCGTATCCTTAATACAAGGTGATGAAAAAAATGGACGTATTTGATCGATAATACGTTATTCAGAAAAATTTAAAAATCCAACAGTAAAAAACGACGTTGTGAATCGTAAAAGAGAGTAGCTAATATTTGTCAAGATAAGACTGATTTTGGCAGATGACCCACTCTTCTAAGAAAGTAAAGGGTGGGTGGGCGGGGCTAATACCTGCCAAAATAAGAGTGGTTTTGGCAAATAACATACCCTGTAAGAAAGGAGAGGGTGGGTGGGCGGGGCTAGTACCTGATTTTAGCAAATGACATATCCTCTAAGAAATTTTATTAAATGGTTATAAGAAAAGACACTAGAGGCTCCAAAGCACTTTCAAATTGTTGTCAAATGGAATTTCTAGCAAACTATTATTAAATTATTAATAACCAATTGCTTAACTGTCTATTAGACAATACAATTAATTAAAACAAATCAAAATTGAATTTTGACATTCAATATTTTCAAAAGTTTGGTGCAGCAATTTTTTTAACCATTTTTTTAGTTCTTTGAAACCTCAAATACGTCATTTTTTCGTCACCCTATATAGACTAAATTCGTAATTACATAAAAATATTTGACAGTTTAAATTTTCACAAGAGCCATTAAAAGTGTTAAAACGATGAGAATACCTAGTTTGACAGTCATTTTGGAAAAAGTAAAAAACAAAAATGACTTCTCCGCAATTTAATATTCTGTAAACATGTTTTTAAAAATCATAGTTTCAATGCCAATTATATCTATAACAAAAACGCTAATAGCTAATTTTTTGCCACGTCTTCGACTGTATTTAATAAACATCTTGCAAGTTTTCTCTAATCCCACACGTTCGAGCAGTTTTTAACATTTCAATCATAGCAACAGCAACTAGAGCATCACGCTTGACTGACAACTGAACTCAGGAACTTAGCATAACGTACGACTTTAATAATGAGTCCTTATACAGTCTTCGAGTCGAGTGTTGCACCGCGGTCTGCAAAGCCATTTAATGGTGCTTACCTTCTAGAATAGAATCCATCGTTTGCCTATATAAAGACGCCCTCATCCGCACAAAAAACAATTCCTCGGGTCGTTCCGGGAGGTAATAGACCAGCAACTCTGTATCTGGCGAGATGGGCTTGACAGCCTCGTAAACAGGCTCTCCTCTGACTTTGGTAGCGACGAAATTGACCGCAGGGTTGAACGAGCTCGCCACCCTCACGAACCGGACCCAGTTGCAGTGCCTCACCCTCCGGGAGCCGCTTCCGGAGATCTCGTCGTAGCAGCCGAACCGGTGCCGAATCTGCAACCAAAAAGGAACTTATTACTATAGAATAGAGCAACAAATGTGACTGCATTTAAGATAAACTAATCGATAAGTACGCGGCTAACCTCCACCGCTTCTGGGAATTAATAAACAGAATATGATGTATTAAGTGTGGTTGCATTACAAAGCTCGCTGGTAATGAATTCATCTGTATAATGGCATTAACACGGGCATTTGTGCAATTCGTTCTTCGCTTCGGCGGAAATCGTAAATTACGAAGAAGTCCGCTCCAGCAATTTATTAAAAATGGATTTGCGCGGCGACCGGGCGCGTCAGTCGCCCGATTTTTTGCGTGCCGAGTCCGAAATGACACGACATTCCTGAAACAATGCCTCTCCTAACGCATCATTAAAGTCTCCGAAAGGCGGACGAATTATTGGCTGATCCTTGGACATCCTTTTGTTTCGGGCACAGGAGCGATCGGCACAGGGACGTCTCTTTATGCGCGCCGCCATTGTCTCATCGGCAGCGCGCTAATACATACTTGCATGCGTTTATACAGGGCCGCTCCCTTTCAACTCGCCGCCGCCGCTTATCTACAATTGCTACTGTTTATCCGAGCTCGTCCTTTTTTCGCGCATTATCTTGCATCTGGCTGGAGCCAGCGAAAAGGCGAGGGGCCCGAATCGATCGACTCGAATTTACTACAAATATACCTAATATCACATTTATATTTCTTCATTTCTAGGTAAAACACGCTGTAATGAGTAGATAACGATGTGCATATCCCGTATTTTTTAAATTATAATTTGTGTCAAGTTCTAGAGATGTTTTATCAAGAACAAATTCTGAACAAACATTTCTGTTAAAGTTCGCCCTATTTCTTGAAATTTATGGTCAAAACCAATTTTTTGTCATTTTTTTTAAATTCTTGTTTTTTATGTCACATTTTAAACAGATTTTGTCAAAATATCGAGTTTCATCTTAGTTAACAATGTAGAATTGATTTCGGCAATATCTTGAAAAGAACGATAACATTTTAGGAGAAAGATCCCAAGATTTTAAGAAAAAATTCAAAATCATAAAACTTCTTCAGAATCAATAGATCGTCTGAGAATTTTTGTCAAAACTGACGCTAGGTAAATTTTTCAGACGTTATCTCCAAAGACCGATTTTTGATCTTGATGGCCAAAATAAACCTCAGATTTTTCGTAACAAACGTGTAATAACTTGATTTTTATCACGATTTTGAGACATCAAAATCTCGACAATTGTACAAAAGAACTTTAAATTTTTCAAATCAATCTTAGTTTGAACAAGCTTAATTGTGGACTAGAAACAAAATCTTATTTTTTTTTTAGATTTATGCATTTAGAATTTTGACTTTTCCTTGTTATTTGAGAATGAAGTTAGTTTTATCAGTGTCGAGAAAAAGTCAAAAGTTTTAACAAAATATTCCGAAATTTTAAGAAAATCAAGAGCTTGAATAAGAAATCAAAAACTAAGAAAACAACTAAAAATTGCCATTTCTAGAAATTGATCGTCCAATACAATTCTTTGAATGTTTTCCTTATATACCGAAATTTAAAAAAAATTAAAAATATCGAATACATTTTCGGTTCTTTTTTTATGAAATTCTGGGTTTTTCCCTAGAATTTTGACTTTTCCTTGTTATTTTGCCTCAAATTCTCTAGATATTTTTTCAACAAATTGATTTTATTTTGCAAACGAGAATAAAGTTAGTTTTATCAGTGTCGAGAAAAAGTCAAAATTTTTAACAAAATATTCCGAAATTTTAAGAAAATCAAGAGCTTGAATAAGAAATCAAAAACAAAGAAAACAACTAAAAATTGCTATTTCTAGCAATTGATCATCCAATACAATTCTTTGAATGTTTTTCTTTATATAACGAAATTTAAAAAAAATTAAAAATATTGAATACATTTTCGATTCTGTTTTTATGAAATTCCGGGTTTTTTCCCTAGAATTTTGACTTTTCCTTGTTATTTTGTCTCAGATTCTCTAGATATTTTTCGACAAATTGATTTTATTTTGCAAATGAGAATAAAGTTAGTTTCATCAGTGTCGAGAAAAAGTCAAAATTTTTAACAAAATATTCCGAAATTTTAAGAAAATCAAGAGCTTGAATAAGAAATCAAAAACAAAGAAAACAACTAAAAATTGCTATTTCTAGAAATTGATCGTCCAATACAATTCTTTGAATGTTTTCCTTATATACCGAAATTTAAAAAAAATTAAAAATATTGAATACATTTTCGATTCTGTTTTTATGAAATTCCGGGTTTTTTCCCTAAAATTTTGACTTCTCATTGTTATTTTGCCTCAGTTTCTGTAGATATTTTTTCAACAAATTGATTTTATTTTGCAAATGAGAATAAAGTTAGTTTTATCAGTGTCGAGAAAAAGTCAAAATTTTTAACAAAATATTCCAAAATTTTAAGAAAATCAAGAGCTTGAACAAGAAATCAAAAATAGAGAAAACAACTAAAAATTGCTATTTCTAGAAATTGATGGTCCAAATTTTGAAATTTGTTTGATTTTTTGGTTTTTTTATTGCCACTGTGAATTGAATCAAATTCGTCGCATGTTGAGAAAAAAGTCAAGTTTTCGCCAACACAAATTTGAAAATCTCAAATAAATCAATATCTTAAACAAAAACTCAAAAACTGTACAAAGCAAACTCAAATTCTCTAGTCTGCACTAACTTAATTCTTCCTGCGTCGTCAATATTTTTTCCTTTGGTAGATTTTTTTTGTATTTTTTTGACTTAAACTTTTGAATGTTTTCGTGAGATGGTCCAAATGCAGACTTTTTATTTCACCCGAAATTTTAAGAACCAACTTAATTGTGCTCCACGTGGACAATTTTCTCTACTTTTATTTTTTTATATGATTTTTTTAGATTCTTAAATTTTTCCTGAATATTTTTTTCTTGAATCTTTAAATGTTTTCCCTATATACAGTTTTACCAAGTTCAAAAAAAAAAAATGTGCTATTTACTTGTGGACTACAAATCTTGGTTTCCCTTATATACTGAAATTTTGCCTCAAATCAAGACACTTATTGTTCTAAAAAAAAAAAAGTCAAATTTTGAGAAAAAATTTAAAGGTATTGGATACATTTTCAAATTTTTTATAACATTGTGAATTTTTTTCCCTGGAATTTTGACCAGTCAAAATTTTTATTTTTTAAGTCACATATTGGAAATGTACTCTCGGTGTACTGAGAATTTACTTCTACATGTAGTTTCTTGAGAAAAATTGTTAAAAAAAAAGTGTTTTTAGAATTTTATAATGATTTTGAGTTTTTCCTTAGAACGGTTTTACTTTTTTGAATATTTTTTCATTTTATACCAACTTCTCGGAGTACGTGGATAACTTTACTCGTTTTTTCATTATTTTCCTTATTTTTTTAGAATCTTGAATTTTGTCAATATTTTTATTTTATTTTATTTTTTAGCTCAAATCTCTAAATGTTTTCACTATATTCTGAAATTTTACTTCAAATGAAAACAAAACAAATATTTTCGAGTTTTTGAAAAAAAGGTCAAATTTTCAGAGAGAAATTAAAGATTTTGAAAACATTTCCACATTTTTTGTAAAATGCTGATTTTTTCTCGAAATTTTGACTTTTTTTGATTGATTTGCTTTTTTGTGTCAAATTCTCGACATTTTTTCACAAGATATTGATTTCTTTGTCAGTTCTTGAAAAAATCTTAACAACTGTACAAAGGAACTTCAGATTCTTCAAATCAACTTAGTTGATATCAACTTACTTATGGAAAATGTTATACTTTTTTTTTTGGATTCTTGAATTTTTTTCCAATATTTTTATTCTTTTACCCCAAATCTTGGTTTTCCTTATCTACTGAAATTTTGCCTCAAGTGAAGACACTTAGTGTTCCTAAGTTAAAAAAAGTCAAATTTTGAGAAAAAATTTAAAGGTATTGGATACATTTTCAAATTTTTTATAACATTGTGAATTTTTTCCCTGGAATTTTGACCTGTCAAGATTTTTTTTTAAGTCACATATTGGAAATGTACTCGATTTACTGAGAATTTAGTTCTACATGTAGTTTCTTGACAAAAATTGTTAAAAAAAAAAGTATTTTTAGAATTTTATAATGATTTTGAGTTTTTCCTTAGGACGGTTTTTACTTTTTTGAATATTCTTTCATTTTATGTCAACTTCTCGGACTACGAGGATAATTTTACTACATATTTTATTATGTTCCTTATTTTTTTAGAATCTTGAATTTTTGTCAATATTTTTATTTTATTTTATTTTTTAACTCGAATCTCTAAACGTTCTCACTATATACTGAAATTTTACCTCAAATGAAAACAAAACAAATATTTTCGAGTTTTTGAGAACAAAGTCAAATTTTCAGAAAGAAATTAAAGATTTCGAAAACATGTCCACATTTTTTTTATAAAATTCTGATTTTTTTCTCGAAATTTTTACTTTTTTTGATTAATTTGCTTTTTGTGCCAAATTCTCGGCATTTTTTCACAAGATATTGATTTCTTTGTCATCTTTGTGATCTTAAGAAACCAATATCTTGAAAAAATCTTAACAATTATACAAAGGAACTTCAAATTCTTAAAAACAATTTTAGTTTGAACTAGCTTAATAACTGTGGACTACATGGAAATTTTTAATCTTTTTTTTGGATTCTTGATTTTTTTAAACGTTTTTTTTTTTTATCTCAGATCTTGTTTTTTGCCCTATATACCGAAATTTAAAAAAATACAGATATTGAATACATTTTCGGATTTTTTCATAAAAGTCTGATTTTTTCCTAGAATTTTGACTTTTTCTGGTTATTTTCCTCACATTCTCTCTAGATCTTTTGTCAGTGTCGACAAAAGTCGCATTTTAACAAAACATTTCGAAATCTTAAGAAAATCAAAATTTTGAAAAAGAAATCAAAAATTGAGAAAACTAAAAGTATGTTGAGAAAAAGTCAAGATTTCGACAACACAAAATTCAAAATCTCAAAGAAATCAATATCTT